CCCCCCGCGCGCCCCCCGAGCGCCTGGGCTGTTTGTGGGCCCGGCCCGCCGGCGGGCACGGGCGCTCGGGGCAGCGAGACTAAGGGCTAGAGGGGGCCACTAGCGGAAAAGGCGTGCTGACCACTCCCTCCCGCCTTCCCGGTCCAGGAGGGGGCACCATAGAGACGCGATGTGTGGATAGAGAGGTAATGGGAGCGGGCGCCCCCAGGCGGGCGGAGGACGACGAGGCGTTGGAAGACCAGCCCACCCCGCCGGCTTCACCTCCTCACAGGGCATTCTGTTTGCTTTCCATTATCCTACTACCCGTACTCCGGGTACTCAAGACAGAGAAACGTGCTGTTCATTCATTTTACAAACGGAAAAGCTGATCTCAAAGGAAGTAAATGTCTTTGCAAAGATAAATCAGCAAATTAAAAGAAAAGCCTTTCTAGATTCCGGTGTCCTGGTTGGTAGTCTGGGCCCCGTTTCACAGATAATGGCTCAATAACACCCCGATGCGGAACTTCATCCTTCATCTCAGGCTGTAATTTAATGAATTTTTACTTTGAATCCTCGCCGAAGAGTCCTGAAAATCTGTTGTCTTTGATTACATTGCTCTTCCACTGCCCAGGGATTCAAACTATCCCTGAACCTGTCCATTTCCAAGAGGATCAGTGTTTACCTGATCAGATTATGTGGGCTCTCATGTAGACCAGCCTAGTAAACCCTGTGAGGGACGATAGCTGCTTCCATCTCCCAGGTGCTGAAATTACCGGTGGAAGCACCACACCTGACTGCCGCTCCCGATCCTTACTCTAGTTAGTGTGACCCTCACGGCCAGCTCCACTCTAGTGGTAAAACCTATAAACTCTTCAACCAAAAAGAACGACGCTGGAGAGGAGATGGTTGGAACCCAGTTTATTAGACCAGAGACATGCGGCACCCGGAGCCCCGCCTGCCGTCCCCCAGCCAGGGCACACCTCCCAGTTTTGCCCTTCCCTTCAGGGGAGGTCTGATGGCTAAAGAAATCTTGGGAACCAAGAGTTCTCAAAGATGCTGTACCTCTCTCTCTCTGGCTCCAGGCCAACACACACAGGCGATCTGCCCACAAGTCCTGTTTTGGGATTAGAGACCAGGAGACAGTGGGGCAGAGAAGGCCTGGAAAAGGATTGAGTCTCTGGCCTGGGAAGAGTGCCTGGTAGGGGTGGGGATGCCCTCTACTTCTACTTGTGGCCCCGTAAGGTAGGGACATACATACAACAGCAGAGCTTTCAACTCCCTCTCTAGGTCTGTCTTTCTCCTCACGTGACCAAACCCTGCCTCACCAGAAAATGCAAGCAGTGGGCCTGGTCATCAAATTGAGGAAGGGGCACTGGGCACCCAGAGGAGAGAAAGGTCACTGAATGAGGACTTCAGCTTCTGTCTGTGGGTACCCACTGCCCCAGCTGCAAGAGTCACCAATTCTGAGCTCCCTCTGTCTCTAACACTCTTGGCTTAGTGTCCAGCATAGCTCCGTTCCTGGGTAGGTGTCACCTCTGCAGCAATCCCTTCCCTGGAAAGGCCACCATCAGCCGCGCTAAGGGCATTGGGATAGATGGAGCTAGGAAGAGGGTGTGTTAAGGCTGTGGGGAGGGCAGAGGGTTCCCCTGTTGCAGGGGCCAAGGGCGAGGCCAGAAAGAGGCAGAGCTTGTAATTCACAGCTTCCTTTATGTCACCACCGAGACAGTGCGAAGGTTACAATGCGCGTGTCGTCTCCTTGTGCTTCTCAAAGGGATGTGTGTACACAGTACAGACACCAGGGGGAGTCCAACTCTTTATACAGGCAAAGGCATTCAGAGACGGGGTGGGGCGGAATGGGGAGAATTCGAGGTGGGAGGATGATTCTCAGAGACAAGAGGGGATGGGGTGGAGACAAACAGGGTGAGAGGAAGGTATATACAGAGATATAGCAATATAGAGTCTGTATCTTATAGAAATAGAAAATGCAGACGAGATTGCCAGGAGAAGCAAATGAAGCTGGGGAAGAGGAGCGTTCCATAAGAAAATTTATGGATGTGGCCCTCTGCAAAGGCCTCTGAGAGAGAAGCCAGGGAGGTCAGGCTCCAGGACCCCGCTCCCTGAGCTGGAAGCTAACCAGCCAGGTCTTTTATCGGATGGAGAAGAGGGCTGCCTCTGAGAATTTCTCTCCAGCTGCTTGGAGGTGGAGGTGACTTACAGATATGGGGATGTGGCCTACAGCACCAGGGCCACATGGAGGCCTCACTCTACTTCTTCAGGAAATTCTGTACCCCCCATGATTCCATATGATTGAGGGAGCAGAACTGGGCATTTAGTTCTTACCTGGAGACCGGGGCTTGTGGGGAGTCAGTGGGCTGAGAGTCTCTTAAGGCTAGGGAAGCCCCCTCACTAGTGCTCTCCCTTAAGGTACATTCTCTGGTTTGGGGTCAAATTTCAGACTCTAGAGATCCCCTCCACCCCTCACTAGGAGGGGGCTTTGGTGACTGGTGGCAGCAGAATGTAGGCGAACACTCAGATGACAGATAGCCAGACAGACAGAATTCAGTTTGGAGCTAGGGGAGGCAGCATGGAGCAGAGAGGGGCAGCCTGAGGTCTCGGCTGGATCTCTCTCTTTCTCTCTTTATATTAGTTTAACTTTGTTAAAATAAAAAGGTGGGATGGAGGCAGGGAGAGGACTACTGTGAAGACCTTTCTCACCAGACGAGGGAACCGCTGCATAGAGCGCAGTTGAGTCCCCAGGGTTGATGGGGGCAGCTGGGGGCCCCTTGTTCTTCCAGCCCTCCCCACCTAGGCCTTTGGTACAGTGGCCTGCGGGGGCTTAGCAAGTAAAGTCCTCAAATGTGCCTCGGGCGGGATGGTGAGGTAGGATGTTGGCAGCGTAAGTCATTCCGGCAGGATGTCCCCGGAGGCTCTCGCAGGGATTCTAGCGAAGGGAAACGAGACAGGGACAGGTTACAGAAGGGGCTGCAGATAGACAGGTATAAACAGGTGGCGGTGGCGTGGAGACGGGGTTGGGGGAAGGGGCAGGCCAGAGGACACCCCGTGCCTTGCTCCCTCACGTGTCTTTTGACGTCGTCCAGGCTGAGGGCCACACCCTTATCTGCGCTGCTCCTCTTGGGCTCCTTCTGGCATTTCCCTCGTCTACACAACCGGTGCTTAATGACCTGGGAGAGGTCGGGCAGGTTGGGTGGACGGGAACCCCCAACCCTGTGTGGCCCTGCCCAGCTCTGCCCCCCTTACCTCATAGGCATAGTCAAAGAGTTCCAGCACGGTGAGGATGCTGGCCCCGATGAACAGCCCCATCTGGCCCCCGATGTCACCTGCGGGGTCAGGTAGGAAAAGTTAATGGGCTCAGGACACTTGACAGCGGAGAGGTGATGAGGCTCAATAGGACTGGGGCAGGCCAGCCATGTTTGCAGAGATTTGCATCTTGAGGTACAAGGGTCAGAAAACCAGACTCTGGCAGGATTTTTATTCTCTATGCTTTTCTGTATTTTCCTACCTTTCCAAACGAATTCTCTTTCCCTCCCTCTCTCTCTCTCTCTCTCTCTCTCTCTCTCTCTCGCTCTCTTGCTCTCTCTCTCTCTCTCTCTCTCTCTCTCTCTTTTGATTTTTTTCATGGCTGTTTCTCTGTAGCTTTGGTGCCTGTCCTGGAACTAGCTCTTGTAGACCATGCTGGCCTCGAACTCACAGAAAATGAATTCTTTACAAAATGTACTACTTGCTTAGCATCCGGTCCACTTCCAAGGACGTGAAAGTTTCCGCTCCTGTCTCCCAACCCCTTTCTCTGACCTACTTGCTTGTCTTTTCTACTTTGTCCTAAGAGAAGACCCTGCCCCTTTACTTCACTTCATGCTACACTAGAGGGAAAGGACCCTGGGAATGGGGCAGGAGTTGGGTAGGAGGGGATGCATCATGTCCTAGGCACAGGAGGGGACTGGTTCTGCTCACAACCTCACCCAAGAGCCCTGCGATCTCATAGGCCTTTTTCTGCTCGATGGTCTCATAGTTGAGGACTTCAAAGAAAATGTCCAGCACCAGGATGTTCTCCCTGTGCAGGGGGGAGAGGAGGAGAGCTAGGTTCAAGTCATATCTCTGCCCCTTACCAGACAGGCGATCTTCGCATGTTAACTTCTCCGAGGTTGTTTCCATATTCCCAGATGAGCGCCTGCCTTCTAGAGGCGCTGCGGGGATTGAATTAAATGACGCGTATGAAAAGACACATCGCATGCTGGCAAGTGGGAGGTGATCCCAGTTACAGCAGGGAAGATGGGGCGAGGAGAGGGGGAGGAGCGCTTGCCTCACGTATGCCAGCTTGATCTCCCCCCACAACCCACTCTCTTTGGTTGCTTCTTGGGCCGTGCGTGAATTCTCTCAGCTCCCTTGTGCCTGTGAGACTCAAGTTCTCATCCCTCTCCAGGTCTTGCACAAGGGCCCTGCCCTGCATAGGAGTCCTTACCCTATGTACTGCTCAGATTTGTTGAACTTCTTGGCCAGGTACTTGGCTGAGGCTTTGCTGGGAATCTTGACCATGGACAGCTCCTTGCCATAGCGTGTCAGGTTGCAGGGCATTTCACACACGCAGTATTCCTGGTCTTTCTCCACTAGGAAGTCTGTGCCCATGCAAGAGGCACTAGTTGAGTGGTGTTCTTCTGCCAGCACCTTCCCAATATGGACATCCTGGCCCTGCCCAGAGGATCCCTGGCATCCCTTCTCTTTCACCTCAGCCCTGTGTCTACCCTTAGTTGATCTTCACCCAACCTCCCTGCAGATACATTTCATCTTATGTGATTTCCCTCAGGGTTCTCAAGAACCAACCACAGGGACCTTTGCAGCATTTAGAGGCTGCTGCGCAGAGGAGTTCACCCTTGACCTTAGTCCCCTGTGCATGAGGCAGACAGCACTTTCTTCCCTCCCTCTTAGTGTCCCAGGTCAGAGGTGCTCACCCAGGGCAGGATCTGCACATTCCTTGTACTGCTCTGGAGTGCAGTATGGGGCATCCCCTACAAAGGAGAGAAGATGGTGGGACAGGTGGAGATTAAAGGGGTCTTGTGGTGGCATGGTACTGTGTAAGGAGGAAGGTGGGTCTGCAGGACTAGCCACCCCTGCTACCCTGGAAGTCACCTACTCTGACAGTCCACCCTTCCTGTAGACATAGGCAGGAACTGAGAGACAGGAGCCAGAAAGATAAAAAATGGAGTGACCTGGGACCAGGGGTAGGGAGGCCAATACAGATGGGACACAGACGAGGAGCCACGCAGCCTGAGACAGCCCAGGACTGTGCTTGGAACCTCGGGGCCTGACCTGGCATGTGCACCATGCGGCAGTTGCAGTTTTCCACCAGGTAACGTGTCTCGCAATCGATGCGGCAGGCAGTGATGCTGTAGGAGTCGAAGAAATCCGAGTCCATGGTGACAGCATTGCAGGTGCCCCAGGGTGAGGGCAGGTAGATGAGCTGCTGGGAGAGCCGGGGAGCTGGGGAAGTGTGGGGACTTCTCCCGGACTCACCCTAACGGACTCCTCGGGCAAGATACGGGACTCAGGAGTCATATCCCTGCACCTCTAAAGGGCTTAGAGTTCATAGACTATTCCTTCCATTCTTGATCATCCCTTTTTTCCTCTCTCTCTCTCTCTCTCTCTCTCTCTCTCTGTGTGTGTGTGTGTGTGTGTTGTATACCTGAGTGTGTTGTATACATGAGTATGGCTGTGCCCCCATGCATATCTCAGAAGGAGAAGTAGATATTGGATGGGTTCCTCTATTTCTCTCTACCTGTGGTTTTCAAGGCAGGATCTCTTACTTGAACCAGGGGCTTATTGGCCAGATAGTCCTGAGGTTCCACCTGTCTCTGCACCCCCAGCCCAGAACTGGGGTTACAGGTGTGCACCACCTTGATTTTTACACGGGTGTTAGGGATCTCAGTTAAAGTCCCCATGCTTGTATAATAAACACTACCCATTGAGCCATCTTCCCAGTTCCCCAGAACCCCATCTTGACTCCTCAGCACAACCCCAGAAGTAGTCTCCTGCAGCCCCCTCACCCTCTGCTCCTGGCAAGACACAAAAGTCTGGAAGCCTGGGGCCACGCCGAAGCCCAGCTGGTCGATGAAAGGAGGTTCATCCTGGCTGTGGATCTGCACTTTGATGCCTGCTTCGAAGGAGGTCTCGTCTGTAAAGATGAAGGCAGGTGGGTCAGGAGAATTTGAGTCCCCAGGGCATCCAGGCCTGGGACATCACACCTCCCCGGCATGGACTTGGAGAGCAGGCTGCGGGGTCCCCGCATACTTCCAGCCTCTGCGTCGACAGCTCCGTGGTGCTCCAGTGACTGCTGCATCCTGCATCCTGCACACGTCTTTTCTTACCTGGTGTCTGCAGTGTACCTCGGTGTTTCAGATTATTTTTCCTGGAGTGCCAGTCTCAGCCACTCTCCATTTCTCCTCAACCCTTTCTCCCCTCTCCCCATCTCCCTGCCCCTGTGTCCCCTGAGACCAGACAGCCCAGGAAGAGAGGGAGTTAATTTATAGTGAGCGGCGGCCACTGCCGGAAGAGGATGATGACTGGTTACCGAGGAGAGTAACTGAACCGGGGAGGGGGAGCCAGGGAAGTCACACCAGGGCAAAGACAGCAGTGGAGAGGTCTCAGGAGAAAGGGGAAGAGTCTGAGTCTGGCCTCTGGGCCACACAGTGGAGCTCTAGTTGAGTCTGGGGCCAGAGGGGTTCAGGGAGGGGGTTCTGGAGCAGGGAAACATACCAGTCTCTCCCCACACAGGCAGGTATTCATCTTGCTGTATGTCCAGCATGATCTCCAGGCCATTACCAGTCCCGCCTTTCATGGTCTTCAGCCTCGGCCGCCCATCTTGGCCTGAGTTGAATGTGTAACACTTTCCATAACGTGTGAAGACCTGGTGGAAGGCAGTCGAGGGCATGAGAGTCCTAACAGCCAGATGAGCATCTGGCTGGGTTTAACTAGCGGGAACCACAGGGGGGAGGAACAGCCTGGGGAGGGAGGAATACTGATCCCTCTCCTTGCCTCTCTGTGACACTGGCAGTGGCTTAGACCATCCAAGATCATAACTCTTGCCCAGACTCCCTTTGTGCTCCTTCAGCCTAGAGGTGATAACAGTTTCCTACTATTACTAGCTACATTGGCTTATGGCTTCCTTAATCTTGCACACAGCTTTACGGACAGCCCCTTTGTTAAAGTCTTTTCAACTGAACTATCAAGGGACGATCTTTTTCTTGCTAGGACCCTAACATATGCACCTCCGTCACCATGATCCTATAACTGCCAGACTGCTGAGGCCTTCTGAAATAGATCTTTAGATCCTCACTTTGGAATTTCAACCTCCTGAACTAGAAATCCTCCCAAGACCTTCCTCTGCACCTAAGCCCCTAAAGCTAAGCCCTCTAGTTTCTTCCCACGACCAGCTTCTCATGTCCGCCATTGCTCCATTATCACTAGAACCTGAAAGCAGACCCAGTTGCCTTGCCAAAAACCAAACTTACTCGAGCATATCACCTCCTCCCCCAGGATTCAAGACCGAGTACCAAGGTAAGGCATGTTGGGGTGCTCAGTCCCAAGGTGAGCTCTAAGGACCTCAAAGCAGATACCTCCCTTGTTAGGTGATCCTGTATCTTCTGCCCCCGCTCATGCCCAGTGGCCAAAACCACCAGGTCACAATCATTTCAGGGACTGAGATGACACCCATGTTCACCTACATGGTAGGGCATAGAGGGGTGGGTGTGGAGAAAGGTCAGGCATCTGAAATCTGCAGGGGACCAGAGAGGAGTGCAAGTCAAACTGGGGAGATGGTGGACGGCACGTGGTCCCTTAACTAGGAAGTCCCTCCACCTCTGGGTGAGGAGAGCAATGGGGAAAGGTGATATTTTCTAATGATAGCTTCCTCCAGGAAGAAAGTCCTGGCCACTTAATCAGAGCTGGGAACATGGGCTGTGACTTAGAAGAGTCCTAGCTTCACAGACAGATGGATCTCTCTCTCTTTCTCTCTCTCTCTCCCTCTTACACACACACACACACACACACACACACACACCACGTAGCTGGTAGGGGATCAACTCCCATAGGGAAGAGCACAGGAGACACACACACTCAATGTCCCTCTTTCTCACACACACACATATACACACAATCTCTCTCTCTCTCTCTCTCTCTCTCTCTCTCTCTCTCTCTCCCTCTCTCTAACACACACACACACACACACACACACACACGCCCCTGGCAGAGGGAGAACACAGGCGACAAGGTAACAATGCAATGAGGTCCCTGCTATGACATCTGCTGACATGGTGTTGGGGTGAAGGTGGGGCTGTCTCCATCTGCGATCCCCTTCTGCACCTCTAAAGACTAGGTGACCCCCCCCCCCACTATCACTCCAGGGATAACAATCAACACTGGTCAGACATAGCTACCCTCCCCTCCCCACCATCAGAGACTAACTTTACAGTTCAGGCAAGGTTCTGGAGCCGTGCTGGACCAGGAAGAGATCAGGTGGAGAGCAGATGAGACTAGAGGATATTCTAGGCATCAGAGCGCAGAGCGGCAGCTAATTACTGATGGGGACAGATTTCAAGACACAACTAGGAAGACTCCAGACTCTGGGATCCCAGGTGAGCTCTGACCCAGATCAGGCAGGGTTACCAGGCCCAGGGGCTGATGGCCAGAGAGTGCTATGGCATATTCTCTTGGGAGTTATGCTAAGCATGGGCCCCACTCACCACTGAGAAGTTGTGGGGACCACAGGGGCCTCCGCAGTAGGAACAATAGAGCAGCATGTCCTCCAGCCGGTGGCAGGAGCGATTGTAGAACCGATGGAGATTAAAGGGCTCCCCAGAGAAAGCCTCTGGCCCGGGTGGAGCAAGGGGTACCCCGGGATCATCACTTTCATCCAGCCCTAGCATGGGGGCCAGGTAGAGCAAGTCAGGGTAGCTGAGCTGGGACAACCGGACAGCATTGGTGTTACAGAATGTGACCGCAGGGAAGACCAGCTCTGTGGTGGCCACCTCATCTAGCAAAGTCACATGCGGGTAGCTGAGGTAATAAGCGACTCGGTCCCCTACCTGGCACAGGAAGGCACCCAGTGCTATGACAAAGGCCACTGCCCACAGGGCCTGCCTTGGCCCTGGGCCCCCTTCCACAAAGACATGGTTGGCACCATGGAGGGTACAGCTGTTGGCAAAGGTCACCAAGTCCCTAGGCAAGTCCCCCTCATCAAGCTCCCTCTTGACTGCCTCTTTCTCCTTCTCCTCCTCTTCCTCTTCGGATTCTGAGCTGTCCTGCTGCTGCCGGTGGTGGTGAGGACCCCAGATGTCCCCCATGGGTCCTGGGGCCTCCTTCTCAGAGGAGAATGACACAGAGCAGAAGATCTGAATGGGCATCTTCTCGGCGGCGGGAGGAAGGTGCCTGAGGCAAGGAGATGGACTTCTGGTGTAGTCCAGCAGGGCCAGCTACCGCACCCTTTGGCAGGCCTTCGCTCGCCCCGCTGTTTGTCCTTCCCCACCAGAGCCTCTGTGGCAGTGTGGTGGAGCTGGGGCAGGGCATGGGAGGAGGACCAGACTGCCGTGCTATGGAGGGCGGCGTCTGTGCTGATGAATAATTGATGGGAGTGGGAAGGGAGGCTGCGGGGAGGAGACAAGACCTTTGTCTGACACTGGCTCCAGTGCCAAGAGGGTTTTAAGCAAAGTAAGAACCCTGGGAAAGTCTGGGGCTTGGTGCCCTCTCCTCAGGTGAGGTGACACCCAATGTGGTCGGTCCCTTCCTCCCATTGCCAGGATGACCTCGGTTCTGCCCTCTTGCGGGACACCGTGCTTACTCTTTCCTCCAACTGTTCCCTCAGTTTCCCGATCCCAATTGTGCCTTCTCTCTTCTCACACGACCTAGATCTTCTGGGCTACCCAAGCCTCAGACCCTCCATAGGTACTCTCTAATTCCTCTCCACCCATAATCACTCAAGCTGTTTCCTTAACCCCACATCTCCCAGTCTTCCTCTGGTCACTGTAATTATTCCTTTGACACTGTTACGGTCTGTCCAGTTACTGGGCCCAACTTGCTTTCACTCCCCCAGAGCCCTGGATAGCCCTGCAGTCACTCCCTTGACCCACCAGTTCCCACCAGCTCCCTTTCTCCCCTGACCTACAGCTCTATTTTAGGCCCACATCCCTCCCCAAGCTCATCACACTTAGGGCTCATTCCCTCCCCCACCTTTTTTGTGACTTGTGAGGCAGCCCAGGTTCCATTAGCAGAAATCTTCACTGACCACAGACTCATTTCTGACCAGTTCCGGGCACTGGGGAGGGACTCTTCAAGCCAACGGCAGGCACACTTCTAACCCTTCCACAAATTGTCCTCCCCCACTTAAAAACAAAAACTCACCCAGTTTAAAAAAGGAGTGTGAGAAGTTCTCTCCAGTGGGTGGAAGAATTGTGACTGGTGTGGAGACAGAGGTCCTAGGTGGGAGAAGTGCTGGGAACCAACCCTCAGTCCTGTGGCTCCCTCAGGTCCCTACTCTCAGACTCCTTACTCCCTCCCTCCCCGTGCCCTGATTGCCCAGGGCCACTAGTTGAGGAACTTGAGCTACCAGCCTAGTGGCTAGGGCCAAGAAGGTGACCTAGGAGAGGAAGGGGAGGACGGGGGACAGGGGAAGCAGATTTACTCCTTCTCAGCACTGCCAAGCGTAGTTTGAGGCTGAACAAGTCTCCCTGGGCCTTCCCACTCCCCACCCTCTGTCCTGCTTGCAGGAGAGCCCCTGGGGTGTGTTGGGGTGAGAGGCTTTACTGCAAGGATGCAAAGCCCCAGAAGAAAAAGCCTGAGGCTTGGCCGCTCTCCAGCCTTCCACTGCCCTCTGACATACCTCAGTTCCTTTTGTTTTTCCTTCTGAATGACAGACAGCCTCCCAATTAGTCTCCCAGTTTCCCTTGTCCCTGCTGTCAGTTTACGTCATGTGACCATGCACGTTTCCCTACTTAACACTCTTCATCAGCAATGATGGACCTGTGGACAGAGAGCCCTGCACCCTGCACCTCACTTCTGACACTGCCCCCAATCCAGCATCCAGTCACCAGAAGCCTCCCAGACGTATTAGGCTCATCCACAGCCCCAGGACGTTCGATTAGCTCCTACTCATTTTTTTTCTCGTCTTTTTTATTTTATGTATTATTATCGTTTGTGTGAGCATGGGAGTCTGGTGGTCAGAAGACAACTTTCAGAAACCAATTTTCTTTTTGCATACTGGACTTTCAGAATCAGACTCAAAGTGGTGGCGCACAACTTTAATTCCAGTGCTTGGGAGGCAGAGGCAGGTGATCTCTGTGAGTTTGAGGCCAGCCTGGTCTACAAGAGCTAGTTCTAGGACAGGCTCCAAAGCTAAAGAGAAACCTTGTCTTGAAAAACAAAAAACCAAAACAAACCAAAAAAGAAAAGAAAAAGAAAATCAGACTCAAACCATTGGGTTCTGTGCTTTTATCTGCTGAGACATCTTGCTGGCCCTGATGACATCACTATCATTATTATTACCATTATTATTGTTGTCGTTGGTATTTTCAACGTGGTCTCACTATGTAGACCAGGCTGGCCTGAAATATATTATGTAGACCAGGCTGGCCTTGAGCTCACAGAGATCCAACTGTCTCTGCCTCCCAAGTGCTGAGATTAAAGGTACACCACCTGTCTGGTCCCTCTGATCTATTATTTATTATTTAATGCCTATGGGTCTTTTGCCTGCATATGGGATTATACACCACAGTGTGTGCAACACTAAGAAGGTCAGAAGGGGGTGTTGGATCCCCTGAAACTGGAGTCACAGACCACTGGAAGCTGGTCGAGAGCCACTATGTGGGTGCTGGGAATAGACCAAGCTGCTCTTCATGCTGAGCCGGCTCCCCAGCCCCAGCCGTCTGGTCTTCCTAAACAGACAGACTCTCCCTGTGCTGTGCCTGAACCCCTGGGCTCTTCATCCTTCCGTCCCACCTCCCAAGCAGCTGGGTTATGGGCCCTAGCGACTATGCCCAGCTCCCCACTTCCTTTTCAATACCCTATTCATATATTCCCCACAATGAGAAGTCTTCCCTGACTCCACAGGGCACAATGCCCGCCCAGGGCTCAGATATAAGGGTCCAATCTCTACGCAAGGCATTCCAGATGTGAGGTGATCCACAGCTCCTTAAGTGCGGAGCCTGTGAGAGGGAACAATCGAGGTAGAGAGGCTACGTCAAGGAAAAAGAAATGAGAAAAGACTAAGCATGTGAGAGTGGACAGGCAAGATGGCTGCAGGGAAGGAGCTTGCTGACGAGCCTGGGCACCTGAGTTCGAGCCCTAGACCTCATGCAGTGGGACGAGAAAACTGACTTCCGCAAGTTGTCCCCTGAGCTCTACAGTGCACACCCACACACAAACTAGATAGACAGACAGATAGAGAGATGGTAGATAGATGATAGATAGATCAATAGATAGATGATAGATAGATAGATAGATAGATGATATATAAATGGATCAATAGATATATGACAGATAGATGATATATAGATAGATCAATAGATAGATGATAGATAGATGATGGATAGATAGATAGACAGACAGACAGACAGACAGACAGATAGATAGATGGGATACAAAACAAAACCCCACGAAAGTAACTGGGCATGAAGAAAGAGATCAGCCACCTTCAACTGTTGTCCTCTCCCAAACAAATCCATGGATTCTCTTCCTGTCTGCTGCCTCAAGGGCATCTTTTTCCTTTTGCCGGTTTGGCCTGGGTTCTCAGGGGACAGGGCCTGCTCTGTTGCCCTTCCTCAGGGCAGTTTCAGAGGTTAGTCCTTGGCTTGTGGGGTGTTGGCTGAGGTTGACCACTGATGCCTGTATGTCTCTTGATCACTAGAGGGCACTGTCTCCCTCCTTCAGGCATGCTGGAGGTGAATGTACTTGGCTTCACAAAGAGGAAATTAAGGCAGGGAGAGCGACAGGCTGAGTCCCCACCAGAGAGGAGGCTGTGAAGGGCTCAGCAGTTTCAGAGGACAGTGAAGTTGAAATAATTCCTCCCCACAATTTCTGCACCAAGACTCACCATGCACTCCTACACGGCAACACACAGGCACAATACAGGTACGCAACACATACACACAGGCACACGCAATGCTCACTCAGTGCGCAGGTGTGCACGCACACACTCACACACATGTTCATGCACAGGCATGTGCACACATACACACACACATGCTTGTGCACAGGCACATATGTGCATGCATGCACGCACACGCTCACATCCCTACACTTTCCCCGTCAGGCATCACATCAGGCCCCTGAGAGACAATCAGGTGCACACAAACATAGACTGACACCTAATTCTGTGCCCTCTGGGCCCACATCTAGCTCAGTTGTGGAGGGCTTGTGGGCTGAGGTCCTGGACTCAGTCCCTTGAATCACATACTCAGATGTGCTAGCAGGAGGATCAGAAGTTCAAGGTCATTCTCAGCTGCATACTGGATTTAAGACCACCATGAAAGACATGAGACCCTGTTTCAAAATGAATACATAGCTGGACCTGGTCACACACACCTTTAGTCCCAGCTGGCAGACCTCTGAGTTTGAAGCCAGCCTGGTCTACACAGCAAGTTCTTGGCCAGCCAGGGCTACATAGTGGTATGCGTATGTATATGTGTGCACTCTTGTCCATGTGTCCCAGCACAGACACCAGAAATTAATGGTGGATGTTCTATAACTCTCCACCTTATATAGAAATAAATATGCATCAATGAGTAATCAATCTTGGGGCTCTCCATCCATGGATGAACCCCTTCCCTGTGTCCTTCCTCACCAATGTTCCTCTCCAGCTGTGCATGCTAACTAAATGCTTTCTTACTTTCTAAATTTCATCTCCCTCACATCTGGACGTTTGGTGATTTTCAGATAATAACTCATGGGTTCATTCCACAGCCTTAACCTCATCACCATTTCACAAGCCGGTCCCGGCCCACAAGGGCTTACGTGATGGCTCAATAGGTGAATGAAGTGTTTGGTGTGCAGGAACAAGAACCTGAGTTCAGATCCACAGTACTGGGTCCTAGATAATTTGTCAGGTCCAGGTCCAGTGAGAAAGTCTGTCTCCAAACATAAACAAACAAATGAAGGGGCCGCAGAGACGGCTCGGCAGGCACAAGCACTGGATGCTCTCTCAGAGAACCTGGGTTTTGTTCCCAGCACCCACGTGGCAGCTCACAAGTGGCTATAATTCCAGTTCCAGGAAATTTTAAACCCCCTTACATGGTACATAGACATACATGTAAAATACAAATGTACATAGTAAAATAGAATAAATTACTCCAAATAAATAAATGGAGAATGATAGGAGAGGGCATCCAGCAATGACCTCTGGCTTTCACACAGGCACACATGGGCAAGTGTGCTTACCTATGTGTATGCATACCACACACACACACACACACACACACACACACACACACACCTACACTTGTAAAGTGAGCCACAGCAACCAATTCAAGTCTCCTAATGAGAAAGTAATAAAATTA